GGGCCTCGTGCCGTGCGGCGGGCGGCGGTCGCGCGCGGGCCGCCGCCGCGCTTGTGGCGGCCGGTTCGGCTGCCGCCGCCCGCCGCCGCACCACCGCCGCGAGCGGGGCGAGCGCCCAGCTCTCTTTCCAGCGAGCGAAGCAGAGCCTCGTCCATCCTCTCGCCCGCCCCTCCGCCGAGGGATCCGCCTCCGAGCATCATCTCGGCGAGCATGGCCTCTAGCACCTCTAGGTCCTCCTCGCCCTCGAGCCCAAGGCCGTCTGAGCCGTCGCTCTCGCCACCGCCGACCGCCGCAGCGCCCATCTCGCGCATAGACGGGACCTCTGCGGCGGAGATGGTCGAGCCGTCTGGCATGAGCACCGGGCCGTCGGAGAGGCCCATGCTCGCCTTGAAGAATGACTCAAAGGACGCCTGCAGCCCCTCCATCCCGCCGCCGTCACCCTCGCCCCACTCCTCCGCGAGGCCCGACTCCTCCATCATCGCGGCGAAAAAGTCGCCGAGCCCGCCAAAGAGCTCGTCGAGGTTGGCTAGCTCGGCCTCGCCTGTCGCGTCGTACATGCGCCTCCGCTCCGTGTCCGAGAGGACGGCATACGCCTCTGAGATGCTCTTGAACGTCTCTGGCTTGCCGCCCTTGTCGGGGTGGTGTTTGAGTGCCAACCGGCGGTAGCTCTTTCGCACCTCGTCGGCGGACGCAGACGGAGCGAGCTGCAGGCGCTCGTAGAGGTCAGGGGACTGGCTCATCTGGGCGGCGGCCGCGCACAGCGGTGTTTTCTTTCTTTTTCTTTCTCGGTGGTCGCCTCGAGCGGGTTGGCCGACGACTGCGCGCAACGGCGCAATCTCGGGGGACTTGTAGTACATCCCGAACTCGGCGACGATGGAGTGCTCCTCGGGCTCGTCCGCAATGATGCCTCGGGGCAGCCCTGGTAGCAGCCCTTCGAGTTCGCGCGGATTTCGCGAACTCCGAACTCGAACGAACGCAGCCGGCGGGGCCCAGCCCGAACCTCGAAACTGAACGGACCGCGCCGGCTGTGGAAGGCGCGAACTGCGAAAACGAACGAACGTTCGTGAACTCCGTTCGAACTAGGAAAAAAAGAAAATCATCGCCAGGAATTCGTTCGTTCGCAGCATCCACGAGCCGCGCTGAACGAACTCGCGCAACTGCGCCACGTGCGCGCGTGCGGACGCGGTCTGGCCCTCAATCTCAGGTGCCCATATACACAGGCGGCACTAGCACAGTTCTGACGGTCCGCGACAGTCTGCAATCTAGCGGACTACGGGCGCGACTACCCCGGTGCGCCGCCGCCCGCCGCGGACCATTCGGCCCACGGCGGCTCCGGCCGCTACCTGCTCAAGGTCGGCATCGACCCGCCCACCCCAGAGCGGTTCCCGCAGCTGGACCGCTCCGAGGACTAGGGTCCCGATGGTGCCGGCTGCGCTGTGAGCAGGGCCGCCCTGTGGTGCCTGGGCGCCGTGCGTGCTGACTGGCGAATAGAATGGGGGAGACGGGGGCTCCCCGAGGCGTCCAGGCATACTAGGCCTCTAGTAGGCAACCAGGGACTATACAGGCCTGCAGAGCCAAAAAATACATATTGCGGTTCGTTCGCGGTTCGTTCGCAGTTCAGACGAACTTCCCTGGTTTCCTCGGCCTGCGGGTGTGAAGCGGGTCGGGGGGGGGGGGGGGGAGAAAAGAAAAGGCTCGAGTTCACGAACTAGTTCGAGGGTTCGGGCACCCAAGGGCGAACGACCGAACCGATGCAGCGAACCAAGGGGATGCCGTCCAGAGCGAACTCCGAAACCGAACGAACCGCGAGTTCACCGAACCAGTTCACGAACCAGTTCGCCAGTTCGCCAGCGAACTCGAAGGGCTGCCTGGTAGGGCTCGTCGAGCACCTTGCGCGTGGAGCGTGGAGCAGCTGCAGGCTGCAGCAGTAGAGGGAGGGGCCGAGGGACCCCCACCCCTTAAGGCTAACCATCAGGACACAACCACACCATACGCGCAAAAAATCCGAACCCGACTCAGCCCGGGCGTGGCATGGGGAAGAGGTCGGCGCCTGGAGACCCGGGAGCCCCGTTGCCGAGTCCGCAGAGCGCCGACGCTCTCATCCTACCGCACGCGCATGCCTTCTCGCTCGAGACGGCATCGCAGGCCAGCGGCATTGCGGCTGATCCTCCCGACGGCGTGATTGGCTGCTGCGCCGTCTCGCCCGGGCTGGTGCTGCTCACCCTGCGTGCTGGCAGTCCATCCGGCTACGGCCTCCGGGACTGGCCGCTGCTGGTCGGCGGTGCCGGTGTCGGCGACGAGCCCGCGTTTGTCCTCGCGTACGGCGGCGTCGTTCGCTCGCCCTTGGCGGTGAGGTTCGCTGCCGCGGCGGCGGCCTACATGCACGGCGTCGACGACGCCTACTTTTGCGGCGGCTCCTTTTGGGATGGGCTGGGCGACCGCCCAACCCTG